TATCATGAAAATAAAATCTTTGGATTTTTAAGTCTAACTATATAAGTTTAATTAAAATTATTTGTCAGCTTGATATAATAAACTTGGATTGATATACATTTTTAAAGGTGCACTGAAGTGATTTTTGAGTTAATTAGCCGTATAAAGTTATAAACTGCTAATTCAATCTGGAAAAAGAATTGGGGTGAGAGAGGCTCGAACTCTCGACCTCAGGATCACTCATTAGCTATGAGACCTACGCGCTAGCCAACTGCGCCACCACCCCCTTGAAAGCTACATTTCAAATTTCATTATTCAACATAGGCACAGTATATATTTTTATGGTTATGTTTAGTCACTTTTATTCTATTTTCATCACCTAACTATTTTTTGTTTCAAATCATACATGATATTTAGTTTTAGTTTTATTATAGTCACCCACTATTAAAAACTTAACGGTAATGTTGATGTATCACTATAAGATAATGTCACATCATCATCAACAAAAACAAAGAATGTCACATCAACAGTTCTATTAATTTTTCAACCGTGGGTGACTAAAATGAAACCAAAACTAATCGTTATGTATGATTTTGAAAAAAAATAAATGAGTGACCAAAATAAAATAAAAGTGATAGTTAGAATACCAAACATGTAGTTTACTTGTATATTTTATGAGTATAAAAAAAGAAAATGATTGTATATATATATATATATACACACAATATTTTTGAAGATTAATTTATTACATTAGATTAACAATATAAAATTAAATTAATATTTTTATATTTAAAAAAATATTAAAGTTTAGCCAATAGTTTAAACTTATAATGACCTTGAATTCAAATCGAAAATTAATCTAAATTAAATCAACCCAATTTTATTAAAATTCCAAATTAATTTAATCTAAATTGTCTCTATCCAAAATCAATCGAATTCGCTCAAATACAAGTGAACATAGAATTAATCAAACATCATTACATCAATATTCATGACGTTTCGTCCATAAAATATTGTCACAACTTTTGCTGCATTACATAGAATTTTGCACTAAATGTTGCCTTTGGCTTACACTCTTTTAACATTTTACAATTCGGAATCCGAATCCGATTAAAACAACCTCATCGGATCGTTCGCATTTCGAATCCTTTGAGCAAAAAACAGAGGAAACACAACTCTAGTTGGTTTATGAATCATATATGTGTTCTAGTGCGCTCAGGATCGATACAGGAGGGTCTTGGACAGCTCCTCTGGATATAAGATTGTGATTGAAGAATAACACAATAACGGTTATATCATCATGAAAATGGCGTCGAACCTTCTTGTCGATCTTCCGAAGATCAGAATATCCCATTTCTCGTTTTCGGGCTGCTTCTTGTAGAGCAGCCTTAACAAGTCTTTTAGCACTCCCCCGCATTTGTAAAAGGTTCATCGGCAACACCTTAAAACCCATTGATTATCTCTCATATCCTAACAAAATCCAAACTTGAACAATTCGGTTTGTGAATGGTATCGGAAAAATAGCTAAGTCGATAAAAGCATAGAATTCCAAATATGATGAACTCAAGATCGCATGAAAATGCAGAGACGGAGGTAGATACAACTTATCGTCCCAAGGATCGAGAAAAAGCAGCTCAGTATCAATAACAAAAGAATCGGAAATACGAGGGGTACCAGAAACGATCAGACAAATGAGAATTAGTATCAAAACCAACTACGGAACGCAGTGGACACCAACTCGAGTGCTTTACTGCGAGCAATTATGCCTTCAATAAACACAGAAATAAGGGCAAAATCTTACCGCGCGTGGATGACTGTGGACAATATCCACGGCTTTTTCATTACTCAAGTGTTCCCATAGACCATCTGATGCAAATATAAGGAAATAATCATCTGGGTGGAGAGCATGAGCTATGATGGTCGGATTGGCACTCAATATAGGCATATTCATTGGTTCAGGAAGTCTGAATTTTGCGTTAATCGGTTCCCTGTTATATTGTGCATGTTTCATGTAAACATCACCTATAGATCTCGAGACCTGCATCAAATACATTCTCTGAATTCATGACGACATGATGGTTTATGAAGTTATGAAATCGAAAGAAACAGGGCATAATGCTAATACAATTTAATTGGTTCTGAAAGATTTACATAACGAATAGTTACTTTGACTATAGAGTGTGATAGTATAACTTCCTAGAAAGTGAACAACGGCACGAAATACTTCATCCAGGAGACCTAGGACCCGTATCTCTGAGCTGGCTTTCATGGATAACCCTATAAACTAAACAGTAGCATGAAGCCTTCAGCAGTGCCAATGATTAGAAAGAAAGGCACAGAATATTAAATTTTTTAAAGTCCGAATAGGCGGAATTTTGAAAGTTATACCTGAATAATGCCCTTCACTCGCCAAACTCCATGCTTGAGGACAACGATTTGCGGATCATTTGGGTGTAATTCCTTAAGTTCATACCTGATAGCCTCAATGTTTGCATTGTGTTCTGTTGACAACTGCATAGCAGCCATTCCACCAGTGTTTCCAACTTTCTTGCCCAGAACAACACGTGAATCACCAAGACTTGCGAACAAAAAGTGTTTGTCGATATATTACTCCAACCAGACAGCATGTCCCGACTGTTGCCATGTTGGGTCGAGAACTCCATAATTCCGACACAAGGGAAGTAAACTCTTCTTCCGTTTGATGAAAAGCTCTTTGAATGGTCTCGGCAGTCACAACTCCCTCCGACACAGCTGTAATTGCTGCATAAACATAAAGCCTAAGAATGCCAACATAAGAACAGCTCGATTTTGTAGAAATTAAGCACAAAATCAAAAGAAGAAACAAGAAGTTAAACAGCATAATACAAAGAAAAAATTAAAGCAATAAAGAGGTATTCATTCATGGGGTCGACTCTCCCTAGCGCAGATGCCTACATTGTGCACATGTGGCTTTCGGCACGCCCGTATTAACGGCTTACGGCTCTCAACACGGTCGTGTGAATCACTCGAAACACTCCCAACACCCTCTTCAGATTGGGGAGACAAAATTCCAAAACTAAAACCGAACGAAGACACCCCGGAAATACAATATTGATTATTGGTTTCGACCAACTGACTGATGGACAATTCCTAGACTTCTCCCCAATGGATTGAAGACTGCTCAACACAACTAAAATAGCGACTAAAAACCAACACCAAAGTACCAAAACAGTTTCGAAATAGTTCAAATATCAACAAATCAAAGTTAACATTAAACTTTAGAATTCATTGAAAAGAATCCAATATACAGTGACGAACCTCGAAAGTTGCTGAACAAGTGATCGCAAACGTAACGGGCCGCTTCGGGGCCTCCGTGCCCATCATAGATCCCAACAAAAGTGCCGAACTGGCCGGATTCGATCTGGCTTTGATCCTCAAGCACCTGATTTGCTTGGACCACGGCCATTGAAAATTCCCCGAATCCATATTTTCCGATATCCCGAAACCAAAGCAAACCGTCTTTACCTTCTCTAGAACCACCAGTATTACCACCGCCGACAAGAACGCCGTTTGTGTTGAGATTTTCACCGTCAGGCCCAAATGCTTACAGCACAGCGAGAACAGATTCATCAATCCCTGGAGCATCAGTCATCTCTCGTTTAAAACATAATCAGAGTTCCTACACTTTCCGTACCACTCCAAAAATATTTTTGTTTTATAATCTGATTATGTGATCTAAACCTTTTTAAGCGAAAATTAAAGAAACCCTTTTTCCTTTAAGACCCTAAAAGAAGCAAGGCATCAAAGAATGGTGTGATGGTTGATGGGAATTATGTGAGATGAGCACAGGGTGCGCACGTTAGAGGGAGGTGAAAGGTGGGTGTTCGGTGGTAGAGACACAGGGGTGGGGTCGCTCGTTTTTGGTGGTCATTTCTTTCTACTGCGCATCAATATAATACAATATAGGTTAAATTCTACTATTAAATACAACTTTATATTATATATCAATTTCACCATTGAATTTTTTTCTTAAATACTTTAATTTAAAGCTTAATTAAAATATTAAACCGTTAAATTTAGGTTAAATTTGGATCAATAATAAGCTAAATTCAACCAATTTATCACTATCAAATGGGCCTTGAAAAACCAGCAACATAAGTTTCAAAAAATGAAGGATTGATAATCAGAGTCACCCTTAGTGAAAGTGTCAATTGGCGTTCAAAATTAAATTATTTTTTATCAATAATAAGTTAATTTAATAACACGAGACACTAAATTTATTAAATAATATCAAAAATCTAAATTTTCACGACTACAAATAGAACAAAGTTAAAAAGATATTCATATAATGAATTTCTGTAAATTATAATCTGAATTAATCAACAATAGGTTAAATATCTATAATTAATTCAAAAATTAAATTATTTTTAAAAAAAACTATTTTTTTAAATATTAAAAATGAAAATAACACTACTTTTATAGAATATTAAAATATTTTATAAATAATTGACAACCTTCAAAGAAAATTGACAACTATAAGTGATCAATGTCCACTTAAAAATTTATTTATAAAAATTTGAAAATTTTGATACTGTAATTCGCACACTTAATCACTCTCTTACGCTCTTTCAACTGAAAATCAGGTCGCCCAAGGAGAGAGAAGCCGCCGTAAAGAACATCACGGCCGATGTGGACATCTCTGCCAACTGAATTCTGCTATTTTGACAAATAATTAACGAAACTGCTGAAGTGTAGTTTTGCCATAATAACAATTTTAACTCTCAATATTTACACATTTTATCAATTTGATCATAATTCTAAACAATTTGACAAATTTAACCATATATATTTACAAGTTCTATTAATTTAATCCTCAAACATATCATTCAAAGGATTCGGGGGGATGATTCAGCACCTGAAATCAGCTTAAGCCTTTGGACTTTCGTAGTCGTCTTTTCGCTAAACTCAAGCAAAATATATAACATTATTATTTTTTCCTCATATTTCTACAAGCAAGTCATTTAAGAACTTGAGAAGTGAAAGATTCAAAGCCTAGACATCTTGTATGTTTCAAGTTTTCCCATTTTCCGTACTCTTCGGTTCGCAAAGTATTCATATTTAACGCCTGTGCTCGATACAGAAGAATATGATTCTGAAAATATATATGGAAAAAGATACCTGTTTCGATATTCCCTGTGAATCTGAATAACATAAGAATTTCCAGGCTGACACGAAAAGAACTACCAACATCACTCAACTAATCAATACGAAACTCAGGGCTGCTCGAATGGTGCCAACTACTATCTCCTTTTTGAATTTCTTTGTCCAACCATTGTCGTAAATCTAAGTTGCAGTTTTGCATTAACCGTTGACCGAACAGCAACGAGAGTAAACCTTGGAGGAAAACTGCCCAGGCTTCTGAGCAATCAACAGCTTTTTGCCGAGAAGAAAGAAATAGACCAAAAGCAGGCATTTGATTCATGATCCCTTTTGAGAGTCACCCCCAGACGAGTAACGAGCTTGCTGAAATTGGTTAGTGCCTTGTCTCTGAAGATCTCTAAGCTTGTCTAGTAGTTCCCGGAAAGTTGGCCGACTCTTCGGATCACTGGTTTTCAAGAAGTTACAGTTCCATGCATCAAACCTCAAATGCCCACTGTATCATAATTGCTAATTATAATGGCTAAGGTGAGGGAGAAAGAAAACTGGCCTTAATTCTGAAGATTATTGTATCATAATCAATGACTAAACTACTCCTACTTAAACCAACGATCTAAATGGTTCTTAAATAATTCAGACCATCACGATGGTAGCGAATCTGATTGTAATGGGAAGCTTGACACTAGTAACGGTACGCGATACCAGTAGGCTACAGCTCGGATCTAGAAAAATGGAAGCAAATATGTAAATGTTATATAGGAGATAAGCACCTGAGCCAGCAACTCTCAATTATGGAAGCCCACCGTGGATCTAATTCTTTTGGGATCTCAAGCCGTTGGTTCATGAACCCGACAATTGCAATCACCTGCAAGTATTTTACTGTAGTTCATATATGCAGAGCTACAAGACTTGCAAAGCTCAATTATTTCTAGAGGGAAATACGAGTCGAAGAAGGGAACCAACCAACAATCTTCTCTTTAGAAGAGATACAGTTGGTTTGATGATGTTCAACTCTTCACATACAAATGTCTTGCAATTTTTATTGTCATGCTCTTATTGAAAACTATACCTGCATTGAGTTGAGACCATCCCAAGGTATCTTCCCAGTAGCGAGTTCCCATAATACGACTCCAAAACTATAAACATCGGACCTAAGTGTTCCCCAGAAAGAACAAGAAATACAAGGTCAGCAATGAGAGAAACGGTGAATGCGATGGGGCTTGGGGACGGGAATATGTTGTGTGAAGTGAAAAAAGAGAGTAGAGGATTTGCAACGAACTTCTCATTTGAGGGTTCATTACGAAGAACCTCCGGTGCCATCCATTGAGGCTACAGAAAGACATGGTACTTATAAGTCAACCAAGAAACTAGGAAGTCTGCATCCTCTCACAATGATTTAAGCTCGCTAGATTAATATTATTGATGAATAAGAAAAGGTTTCATTCAATTCAGTTGATACCGTTCCTTTCCCGGACATTGAAGAGAGATATGTTGCATGCTTGAGACGTGACAAACCAAAATCACCAACCTGTTCAAATAAAGTCTTACGTTTTACCTCAGGAAAACAAAACATAGTTCCAATACCATGAAGCAAATTAGTAAAGATGCACATAACAAATGGCAAACCTTCACAGTCCAATTCTTATCAACTAGGAGATTTGAAGACTTCAAATCACGATGAACGATAGGCGGATTGTAATGATGAAGATAATTCATGCCTCGTGCCTGTAACAGTTCAATCAAAAAGATGAATTAACGAGGCACTCCAGTGGTGCAAATAAGAATGAACTGAAAAAATTGCAGACCGGCACATGTTGACACCATATCCATCGCAACTACAGAATCATGAAATTCAAAGGAAAAAAAACCAAATCTACTTGATACTCACAATATCCAAAGCCATATGGACACACCGTCTCCCCTCTAATTTTGCAGCATTCTTCTGTAGCAAGCGAAACAAACTCCCCCTGCATCAATAAAATATAAATATAAGAGCTAATCAACAAAGATCAAAGAAGTAAATTAAATCTACAGTCGCAAAGAACAATAGATGTGAAATGTGAGAGTTACATAAAGACTACCAGCACAAAAAAGAATTTCAAAAAGTGGAGATCGGACCGTGAAAGGAATTCAGTGACAATGCAGAGACGTTCAGGAGAAGTGACGGCTCCCATGAACAGCAGAACATTTGGATGCCGCAGTCTTTTCATCAGAGAAACCTTCAAATCAAAAGAAAAATAGCGAGAGCAGCATTAAAAGAGGAAGAAGAAACTCGAAACAATAACAAATAAAGTTATAGAGATTGAAAAGAAATTTAACAAGAAAGCACACCTCCTGTTTAAAGGAAATTATGACATCATCTGAATATTCCAGGTTCGGGAATATCTTGATAGCAACATCCTGCAATAATATGAACATGATTGATTTACAAAAATAGTAAGATGAATACAATTTTTCATTCTCCCTACCATGTCCAAGTAAAATTAAAAAATAAAGAGCAAAAGGGTTCATGTATAGCAGTGACACCATTACTTAAATCAACTGGAATTGACTGCAAGCTATAAGATCCCCAAAAGGACTCTGGATGGTTCAATTGTCTATATTAGACTTAGGGATCGTATATAGGTTTGATGAACCTATATTACATAATACCACACATAACAATTGCCCAATTGATATGTCACCATTTTTCCAACTTATATGCAAACTCTATTTACATGATAATATAAATATGGTTAGAAGGAAAAGGCCAAAGCAAATAAGGATATATCTTACACTGAAATTTGAACTTAGATTCATCCATAATGTGTTCATCTTATTAAAAATTAAGGCAGAGAAAGGAGCAGGAGAACATACTGATCCATACCACAGACCATGGTAGACCGTTCCACAACAACCTGAGAGGAAAGCAAAGAAGAAGTAATCAAATAAAATAAAAACATCACTGAGAAATGAGTACAAAGTTCTGAGTCATTTACATGATTATCTAGAGGTCTTATGGGGGTTCATTTATATGAGATCTCATTCATGTTTTGATATTATCTGGTGGACTTAAATGGCTCCACTGCTCCAGTTATAAGCAAATTCATAATTCCTTCATGTCTCCCACTTGCTGTTAACTAAAGGAAATTACCTTGCCCAATTTGCTCTTTGATCATCAACTCTTCCCACAAGATTCCGTAATCTACACAATCAGTGTCCAAGTCAACTCTATTACCAGGACTACTGCCGGTACTCCCAGAGCGGCTGGAACTGCTCGTACTTTTAACATTAGCAGAAGATGACGAGTAACCTGATGCCTCACTATTGACAGGTCTTTTACATTCATCACTATGGTCTTCATATTTTAAACCCAAAAAAGGGCTCTTTGGCTTGAATGCTTCATTCTCTTGATCATCAACTGCCCAAGGCCATACAAAACGTGCAATCTTAGCCTCTGATTCTTCTCGATCTTTCCCTTTCCAAGGCCAAGATATCCCTTTCTTAGCCATTAAGTTAATAAACTTTTTGCTTGCAGGTTTTCCTTCAGTCTCATCGCCACAATCTCTAGAGATTTGTACTGTGGACTCAACATTTAAAGGATTAAATACACCAAAGGCAGTTGACTGTGTCTCTCCCCTTGGTGTACGGGCCCCATTGCAAGGTGTATCTTCTTTATGATCAGAATGATCTACACAGTTCTCAACTGTCCAAATTCTGGACTTCACCCTGTTGCTCACCTTGGACGCCTGTGTTGGTTAACTCATAACAATCAACCGAAACCAAACTACAATTAAAATAAAATAGAGAAACCAACCATAACCACATACAAAGAATTAAGTAAAAAAATACCAATTTTGATATCTTTGATGCAATTGCAGTTTGCAGAGGCTGCTGCGGATCAAGACCAAGTTTAACCGATACAGCATTTTTAGACCGGCTAAAGACTGAAGAATCTGCTTCTGGTTGCCTTTCAGTTGAAAACGAAATCAGCATCTCTCGAAAAGGCCGTGAATCACAGGACACTGAAGTGATTCCAATTAAAGAACCATTATCATCATAGAAAGGAGAAACGGTTGCAACTACAGAAATCATCTCTCCCGATTTATTCTTAATCGGAAATAGCCCAGTCCAACTCTCCCCAATTGAAACCCGATTAACTATATTATATGCAATAGCTAATTCCCTAGGAGCAACAATAAGCTCAAGGATATCTTTTCCTAAAGCCTCTGCTACTGAATAACCATGAAGTATTTCAGCATGTCGGTTCCTGCAACAATAATAATAATAAATGAGCACAAAATTTGAAGAAAAATAAAAATTCAGAGATAAATATGCTTTGCTTACTTACATAATAAGAAACAAAAACTAAATCGTATTATGAATCACTAATTTAGAAAATAAAAATCATGAACAAAGGAAATCATTTCTAAACTTACCAATAAATTATTCGGCCATTAGGCTCATATATATAAACAGATTGTCCCATAGACTGTAAGATGTTTAAATAATGACTGTTAGTGAGATTATGAGCAGCTGGCCGTGAATTCCTGGTTTTTCCTCCTCCACCGCCTCCGCCATTTGTGGAGTCATAGCCTCCGCTCTCTATTCGCAAGGGATGTCGATAAGAACCGATACATCTGTTATAAGCCGCCGCGTTCCCGGAGAACTGCGGCCGTTGAGGGGAAGCGCAGTGGTATGTCCGACGAGTTGAGTAGGGAATTGACTGACCAGCGCCGGGGTGTTTTACCCTCGATATTTCTTGCTTGAGATGTTCATGTCCCGCCTCTAGCTCTTGGATTTTCCTCAGAAGATCCTCTGCTGGGAGCGTTTCCCTTTTCGGTTTCCTTTCTTTTCCTTCCATCCATGCAAATCGATTGTAGAACTTTTATAACCAAAGATTTGTTGTTGTTTTTCACGCTCTTAAAACTCTCCTTTTAAATAACCAATGAGAAAGACTTCTTTTGGCGGTTTTCATTTTATTTACGCTTAATATAATTTCAAAAAAAATCAAAAATATTATATAAATATGATATGTCAGCTTATCCGGTGTAGGATTCATAGCCACGAAAACAACAGAGCAATTCCATGAAAAACAGACAAATTTGCTTGGTTTCCTATAAACAGTGGCTATGAATCCTACACCGGATAAGCTGACATGAGCCGCTAGATCATTTCATGCCCCAACAAAAAAAATTGATTTTTAATTTATTAATAATATTTTTAATAATATAAAATGATTATAAAATAATATTTTAATTTTTTAATTTATTTACAATATTTTTAATAATATAAAGTGATTATAAAATGATAAGTATCGAGCCTTAGAGAATAAGTTTACATATTTACCAATTGAACCTAAATTGTTACCAATATTGATAACATTTTAAGTTTGCTTGATAAATATCGAAACTCAGTGAATTTTTTTATACTTATCGTAAATATACTCAATCTAAAATGTTATATATTTGATAACATTTTTGATTTGCAACTTAAAAGGTTATATTTTGATGACTCTTTAGTTACAACCTAAAATATTATATAATTTAAAATATTTTTAATTTCTTTAACCTAACTGTTATATATCACTAGATATCAGTATATATATATATATATATATATATATATAACATTTTAAGTTGATAATTGATACCTAATAAAAAAATTATATTATTTTTAATCGTATTTTAATCTACGGCACAGTTAACTCACCCTCACCCTTGAAGAGTACATATGCGACTAATGGAATAACAAAATACCTTTTTTGAAAACAAATAAAATATGGGACACATATGACAAGACGTGTTAATAAAAATATTTTATAAGTTATACTATTTATATATATTAATTTTAAGAGAATTTTTATTATACGATTATATCGACAAAATAAATTTTAAAATAATTATTTACTACAATATAATAATAGTTTAATTATTTGCTTTTATTAATTTTATGGTAAACTCTCATTCCGATCCCTTAATCATAGGTGTTATTTTATCTCCCGGTTATGAAAAACTATAAAGTGATAATCTAACTTAAAATAATAATAAATTGATACGATTTTGTCAAACTTTTAATGACATGTATTATAATAATTAATAAAATTGACATAGTAATAAATTTAATCCTTAATTTTTATGTTTTATTTAATTTAATATCTATTTAAAAAATAGCAACTTTCAATTTAATCATAATTATATCGATTTAAGTTCTAAAATTCCATCCTATCAAATTAACTCAAAACAGACTGTTAAAGCCAAAATTGAAATAATAATAATGAAAAGTATACCATATAATGTCTTTTAAGGATTTAGATTCAAATTTTAATATGTTTAATTTTAGATTATATTTAAGTTGGATTTAGTTTTGTTTAGGATTTGAATATAAGATTTGGGTTTTTTAAGGTATGTGACATGTCATTATAGGTTTAAACTATAATAAATTTCTTAAAATGTCAAAATATATTAATTTAATTTTATATTATTAATAAAAAATTTGTTATATTAAATAAATTAGTTTTAAAATATTAACTTTTTAGAATTTTAGTAAAAACATTGTATAAAAATATATATAATCATATTTTTCTGTGGAAAAAGCATTTTAAACTGTGTCAGAGAATAAAAAGTGTAATTCACATCTAAGGGATCAAAGGGGTGGTGGCGCAGTTGGCTAGCGCGTAGGTCTCATGGGCACTTCAACCAGAAATGTATATTTCGTTTGAGTTCATCACCTTGTTTTCAGTTCTTTCAAAAGTCTTATATTTTTACTTAAGATTCATAAAAGTTGAAAATGGATTTTGCAGGACCTTATGCCCTGCAAATAACAGATGCCTATTTGAAGAACAAAGTAAGCCTATCGCTGTTGATCCCAATGTTGCATGAAGTTCCTAACACTGAAAGGTAATCCCCATGCCAACTTTGCCATCGTCGGCTATTTTATTCCCTTCGATCATAACAATAATGTGCGACACCATGGGAGATACACGAGCCATGTTGGTTCCTTGCTTTAGTAAAAGCAACACATCCTTGCCGTCCGTTTCAAATTTGAAATGTCGTAGATTCATGTTCCATGATAAACTTAGCCCTTCATAAACCCCCTAAAGCTCCGCATCCATTGACCGTTCTCAAAGCCTTGTATCCATTGACCGTTCTCATCCCGGATTACATCACCGCATACTGCCGAGCCATTAAAAAGATTGCGTGCACCATCAGAGTTTATTTTACACCACCCCGTCGGTGGGGGCGACCACTTTACCAACCGACGGTCAACTGCATCCCTTTGAGAGCTATGTGCTTCGTGGACTTGCAACACATGCAATGCCTCCTGCTGGAATCAGCGACTACGTTGGAGGATGCTTGACTTCAACAAATTTCGGATCATAAATGCCTTTATTTCTTCGTATCCCTAGTCCCCATATTATCGAACCAAACAATATATCTATCATCAGCATGTTTAGGAAAATATTTTTGACTGCTGAATATTTACCCGAATCCAATCCATCAAAGACATGTTCAAAAAGCCATCTAGACGCTCCGATTTAATTATCTCACTCCAAACCGAACGGGCGATAACACATTCACAGAAGATGTGTGATGTGGTCTCCCTAGCTGCACCACAGGAAAAACATCGGCTATCATCAGAAATATACCGTCTCACCCTCTCCATATTCTTCATTAAGCGGTTCTGACTGGTAAGCTATAAGAGCGTGCGGACTCACGGCAACCCCCTATAACGTGAAAGCATTTTCCAATAGCTTGAGTTCATCGCATCGTTCTCACCAACCGAAGCTCGTTGGCAATATTCACTTCCAACTGAAAATAGCCTGTTATCCTTCCATCGCCACACCGGTCTATCCTCGCCACCATCTTCACGAGAAGGCTTGATCGCAGCAAGGCTAAGAACTGCCTCCCAGGGAGTATATTACGCAAACGTTTCTATTTCCAATCACCTCTGGGATCGACCATGTCCCGTATATTAACTTGACTAGTAGATGTAATCATTACATCAGTTCGGACAGCCTGATTTAGTTCTAATTATAAAAAATATTAACTTAAAAATCTAGTTTCAACGTTTTAATGTTTGACTTAATCTGAAATTAAGTGCTCAAACTATATTTTAAATTAATTTTAGGTGGTTAAAAAATATTTCGATCAAAATATGTGATTAGCTTTTTCGACGTAACACTTGTAAGTACTTGAATTGTAACCGTCATTAAAAAAAACTATTATTTGACACACATAACTACTATATATATATATATATATATATATATATATATATATATATATTGAATTTTTAGTTTTTTTTAAATAAAAATATTATTTCAAAAAAAAAACTTTTTCTTAAAAAAAATCTTCCTGTCTCCTTTCCCAGATTCCTTTCTCCTTTTCCAAATTTCCTCTGTTCCCCTTCGTCCCAAATTCCCCTCCCAAATACTCATTAAATTTAGGATTAGATGATTAGAAGTTTAGGTATTTGGGGGGTTTGGTGTAATGACAAGAGTGATGATCGGTCAATAATTAAGTGCTGATAAGTAGGTGGCCTTTCGGCGACAGTGATGGTGATCGAAGATGGTCGACAATGACAATGACCGGAAATAGGTTTAAAATTAATTATTTTCAGCTTTTAGGGTTTTTGATTTTAAAGAAATTTGAGTTTTTTTTAAAATAAATTATATTTTATATTTTATTTTAAAATAACATTTTTTAAAATTTTATAACCCTGACACGTATTAGATAACGGTCGAATTTAATGCACATAACGAACTAGATACCTAAAAGTGTTACGGAAAAAATATTAGACAACTATTTTTAGTAAAAAATTCCTTTAAATACCTAAAATTAACTTAAGATATAATTTAAACACTTATTTTTACAACAAACTGTAATATTTTAATATTTCTAAATAATAAAAATGGGTAATTTCGACTACCGGATCTTGAAAATTTGTTTAAAATACTGTATAAAAAATGTTATAACACAGTTTTGGGTGTGCCCCATTTGCATAACCGATTGATAAAGGTTACTTACTAGTATTTAGGGAAAATTATAATAATACATCTTTATCTATATATTTTTCAATTAAGTTCATATTTTATAAAATAAAAATAATTTTTTTATATATAAGTGTTGGGTTAAATATGTATTTTTTTTCAAAAAAACTGATGGGATGAAGCCTATCTAATCCCGAATAAGATGATGGATGAAAGGATATATCACTCGAGTTGCATTCAGATCGACCCAAAACCCCACCCGACGGAACCCTCGTTCATCCCTAGTAGCAGCAGGCAGCAGCATCAATTTTGTTGATTTGTTGTGCTGATTGTGTTTTGTGCTTGGGCTTTCTTAGCCTGGCCCATTTCATGAAGTAAGCTTTTAAACTGTATTAAGAGCCGAAATTTGCGCAGTTCTTAATCGCCATTTTTTAGCATTTAATCAACTATAAATAGGCCATTTCACCTGTCAAAATTTGAAATTGGAAGCCTCCCGCCAAAAAAAGAGAGATCGAGATTTGAAAAAATGAAAGAACATTCACGATCCTCGGATCTCGCCAATCGCCGATCAGATGGTTCTCCGGCGAAGAAAACCCCATAGAAGGTCAGTGATTATGATAACCGATAATTCCTCAATTTCCTCTGCATTTGTGAGCTCATTTATTTATTTAATTGTTCTCGTAGCAGATTGTTAGAAAGAGTTCGACCCAAGCTTTAATTCTACCTATCGAAGATGTTTTACCTGATATTTCAGAAGAGTCCATTGATTTCTCTTCGATCTCTGATTTTTCAGATGCAAATTTCAACATTGAGACCGCTGAGGTACGAGTTATTACGTTGCTTTCTATGTGTGTGGTTGAGTAAGAATTACTGGAGGCAAATTAACT